CTACCAACAAAAATAAATAAATAAATAAATAAGAAGAAGTAGAAGTTTTTTATCCCGAATTTTTGCAGTCTGGCTACATGAATCCTACTCCCAAATAGTGCTCATTACTAATACTTTGAGGTTAGGTATAAGCCAACCATTAGCATTCAGATGAAGGTGCAGGAACTCATTCTGAACTTGCATGCCACCTCGTTACTTGCTATATAGGCCCCTTGCATCGATTATCTAAATGCAGGATCTTCTATATTACTTGAAATTGGATATTTGCAATTCCTTTCCCATGAAACGCTTCTTGCTCTAGGGGTAACAAAGTCTACCTTAGGGTATTTTTCTCTGAGAGAGAAGAATTGATGGTTTGACTTCCCATTTACAGCCATTTAACACAGATAAATTAATTTACTAGGTTTTGATATCCACATAGGATACGGTCTTATCTACCTTTGGAGTTAAGTAGCTCTTCATTTATAGCCAGTAGTTTGTCTTCCAAATCGACCTTTATTTCTTGCATAAGATGGTCAGTTTATCCTTTCTTTCATGTGGACATACCATGGGATAGGGATCTGTCTCATCAAAGCTATAATCTACAAAAGGGAAGGGGAAATGAGAAATGAATACATCTTTCTAGAAGGCATCAATCAATGATTAGATAAGGTTAAACGGTCAGAAGGCTTGGGCATGTGAAATTCAGACTTCTGAGTTTAGAAATCTTATGATCTTCTTTGTTTTCCCCTTGCTTGAAATAAAATCTGTGTTGAAGATGCTATTCAACAAGTTCGAGTCTAAAATCTAAAGTACTAAACACAGTAAATGTATGTTATTAGTTCAACTGAGGTCACAAAAAGTTAGGGGGAAGAAAAGAGTATTTGATTGATAAAGAGAATCATGCCGTAGTGTTATTAGGGCACATTTGTTATTTAGCACTGTCAAATGCTTCAACCATATATGTTTTAGTAAGTAGTCTATAATGGAATAATGTATTAACCTTTTTTTTACTCTTGTGACTCTAGGAATCAATGCTTAAATGTGATGTACTTGGATTGTATTTTCGGCTTGATGTAGGATGTATGCGATAAATTTTATAAATATTAAATATTCATAATCATGCGAGCATGAAGATTCAGATATATATTGCACTGTTTTTCTCTAGGATTATTGTAAGTTAGCTTGTGCATGTTAGTATTTCATTGGTTTTACTCAGTTCCGTTGTTGCTAGTCTTGCACCATGTGTTGTTCTTTCAGATGTCAGGTTACCAATTTGGGGATTTGATGGTTTTCCTCAAGATAAACTTTCATACAGGCTTAGGGAGAAATTTTTTGGCTACAAGCTAAACTTCATAATTTGGGTGCAGAAATGTTAGGCTGTATGCAGTAAACTTTATAAATATTAAAAACTTCATAATCATGTGAGCGTGCAGATTCAGATATATGTTGCACTGTTTTCTCTAGGGTTATTGAAGTTAACTTGTGTTTGTTAGTATTTCGTTGGTTTTACTCAGTTCCGTCATTGCTAGTCTTGTATTATCTGTTGTTCTTTCAGATATCAGGTTACCAACTTGGGGATTTGATGCTTTTCTTCAAGAAAAAACTTTCATACATGCTTAAGAAGGAAAAATATTTGCTACAAGCTAAACTTCATAATTTGGGTGCAGAAATGTTATGCTCCGTGTCAATGCCAAACAGGGAGCTCCAAAGGATGGAAATTCACTACTTGAACTTTTACAGGTTATTTCAGCTTATTCCCCAATGTTACAATTTTTCAAATATAACTTTATCATCTTCTAGAAATCATGATACACATTTGTCTACCAAAAGCTGGCTTTTGAATCATCAATAGTTTTGTTCTTGACATGCATTCTTTGGCCTAAACAGTATAATTGTTCCAGGATCATTTCTTTATCGATTACTTGTATGTAACTCAATGGATATCATTGTTAAAAAAAGTCAACACATATGGTCATTTCAGCCATCCTGCATATCTCAGTATCATTAAGGCTAATCTCATAAGAGCTAATTTTCTTGAACTTGCGTTTCTATCATCTTATGCCATCATCATTAAAGTATATTGTTCTAACCTTATGAGTCGCAGATACCTATAGGCAGTTGTATAAACTCAGCGGCATGCCTGAAAATTTGTTTGGAAACTTGAAAGTGGATGTGAGGTGTTTGGGAACATACTAATTTTAAATGATGACAGTAGAAATATATAAAAAAAAAGAAAACTGGAGTAGGTAACCTGAAATTAATTATATACACGAAGCTACACACAAACACAGATACATAAAGGTGGCAAGGCCCACCTATCCGATGTGATTATACACACACACATACATATAAATATGTAGAGAGAACAATGGGTGTCCTTGTCATATGAGACGATTCTCTCATATGAAGTGATGAAGTGATGTTGCTGAATGTTGTACAAGTGAGTAAAGGGAGAGAGACTAATATGTTTGTGTACATGTACAGATGTAAAGGTGGTAAGGCCCACCTAGTCTGTTTTACAAAGCCTCCACCTAGTCCGCCTAGGCCAAGATAGTGTCTAGGCTGCCTAACTAACGCCTAGCACCTAGGCGGTACCTAGACTGCCCATCTAGATTTTGGGAGTGTTTCGGGTAGGGAGCATTGTCTGCTTACGTGGACTGGACCCTTTAGGCCTTTTGATCGTGTTTTCTGTGTTGCAGCCTCCATGTCCTCCAATCACCTTCAAACTCCTTTAACCTCTAAATATGAACACCTCCGCTACCTCCTCCGACCTTCAGCAAAATCTCCTCGACCACCACTTAAATGAAAAAAAAAAATTTGCCTAGACACCAGTCCAACACCTAGATTTTCTATAACATTGATATTTACTATCAATTATTGTAATTAAAAAATAAAAAAAACTTCCTAGGCTCTAGGCGTTGGGTCCAATGCCTAGATCTCCTAACGTTTTTTATAACATTGTTAGTTATTATTTTGGCTATTTAATATTTAAGTATGCATGGTTTATTGTGGATCTAAGATTGCTACTTTTTTTTATAAATTTATATAAATTTAATACATATTGTTTTTAATTAGTATAATTAAATAATTTAAATATAGCTAAACGTCTAGGCGTCGCCTAGGCATACGCCTAGGTGTTTAGGCGCAGCGCCAGACGTTGGCTCAAACGCCTAGTCCACCTAGCGCCTTCTGTGACATCTATCCAACGTGATTAGTATATATGTATATATATACACACATATACATGCATATACACACATGTAGAGAGAACAATGAGTGTTTTTATATGAGGATTCTCTCATATGAAAGTGGCATGGCTGAATCTCATAAGCGAATAAAGGGAGGGACTTCACTATTTTGAATATTTTATTTATATCTTAATCTATCCTAATCATAATCATATCTTATCCTAATCCTATGTGAACCATGTTTAGCTTAACAATTTAAAAAAACTAATATTAATAAAATATATAAAACATAAAAATGATATTAGTTTATTAAGATAAAGAAATTACAAGTAGATAACATATTATAATACATGAAGTATTGCAAAAAAATCATAAAAATTTTTAAAATTGCAGAAAAGACCCTGAAAAGTTCAAAATTATATAAATCATCCCAATGTCTCAAAACTTAAAATAAAAAACATGAAATTAAAAAATTAACATCAGTTTGCAAAGAATTTAAAATTTACAGTTAACACCTCAATGTCTCAAAAATTATAGAAACACCCTCAAAAGTTTAAATTACAGACAAGCACATTAAAATTCTAAAATTTTAAAACTTACAAACAACACAGATGAATTCAAGAGATTACCATGATACACCTAAAATTTAAAAATTATAGAAACACCTTTAAAAGTTTAAATTATAAAAAACCACCCTAAAATTCTAAAATTTGTAAATAACATAAGATGAATTCAAGATATTACCTTTAGACACCTAAAAAATTAAAATTTGCCGAAATTAACCTCAAAATTTTTAAAAAACTCCTTTAAAATTTAAAAATCGTAAAAAAAACTCTAAATTTTCAAAAATTTTAACTAGCACATATCAAATTCGTTGATTGGTAAACCGCTAAAATTTAATATTTTTCAAAATTAATCTATAGTTTTAATAATGGTAAAAGACACCCTCAAAATTTTAGAGTTACAAGAAATATACTAACATTTAAAAAATTACCACCAACACATGAAACATAGAATTTACAACTACCAAACTTAAAAGTAAATTTTTTTAAAAAAATCTTTCAAAATTTAAAAATTATAAATCACACCCTCAAAGTTCAAAACCACAAAAATGGGCTAAAATTTTAAAACTTGGCAAAGAAAAGTGTAATTGTTTGGTATTTTTCATATATATATATATTAAAATTTCTAATTTAGGGATTTACTATCCATTTTCAGCATCTAAGAATAGTCTAAGTTGATACTGGTAAACAAAAACAATAAGAATTGATTAAAAACATCCGGTTAATGGATAAAATTTTTAAAAATATTATAGATTAAAAATTATCGGCACTATATAAATTAAAGTAATTTCATATAATTTTAGTAATAAGTTGGGGTAGCCAAAATACATTCGTAACATTAATTGATAGATGTTTAAATCCATAGAAATGATAAAACACTATAATATTATACCTTAGCATTAATTGATTTTAATTTAGAAACTTTAATCTTTGACGTTAATAATATTTATAGGGTAAAAGAATACAAGGAATTACATATGGAGAAACTATTAGAATATTTAGAGATAACTTTAAAAGAATTGAGTTATTTCCATTGCAAATGGGAAAGTGATGGAAATAAATCTAAAATTCAGAAAACGTCAATGAATCACTTGAATTGGCATTAACATAAGACATATCTATTAATGAAGCACTGAATGAGTTACATTAAAAAATAATTTAATAACTTTATCCTAATCAAAGAAAAAATCTCCATGGAAGACATAAGAAAAATTAGTAAGTATTCATAAATTCCATACTGTGTTCTTCAAATTAAATATTAATATTATAATCTAAGAGAAATTAGTAATGAATAATGCAGGTATTTATTTTAGATCTTTATGAAAAATGATAAGGATAGAGCAAAGGTAATATTATTGAAATAACAGAAATTCTTATTGGATGCACATCAGAAGAATTCATTTTAGAGGAAAATAAAGAGATAGCTTCTAATTTATTTAAGTAATAAATTAGGAACACAAAGAATTTTATATATATGAAATTAATATTTATTCTCATTGAAATAGAAAAAAAAATCAAAGTCTATATTTTGAGCAGTTTGTGTTGAACATCATAAGTACATTTGACTTCTTTGTAAAGTTAAATGAGATGATAAAAAATTAACGAGCCTAGGAAAGATAATAGCATAAAAAATACAAAATTAGCCTGATGTCACAATTGATGTAGATGATGAAGACAATACTCTAGAATTGTCCGAGAAATGATAAATGATAAACCTGAAGAAGGATTGATCTTAACTCAATAAAAAATAAAATAGAAGAAATAAAAACAATATTTTATGAATATTTTATAGGATAGTTTAATTATTTTGAGTGAAATTAGGAATCTTTAGAAGGGAGTTTCATGAATTTTTTTCAGTACTTTTATATTCTTATGTGGATGTTTTTATCATATAAAAGTATACTAGAGTTAATATTAATCTTTAATTTATATTTTTTTATGAAGTCTATTAATGATTAGGAGTAAACTTCATATTCTCTTTTGCATCGTTTTAACATACTTTAAATCAATCATTTTGCCATATTTGTTTTAAATATTCACCTTCCTTGTATAACACTATTTTAATATTTTTCACTTTGTAATGCTATACTTTCTCAAATAAAGCTTAGTTTCATATCGATCAAAAATAATATGAAAATTCAAATTATTTTTAAATTATATTTGTTTTTTGTCAATTCAAATATCAACATGAAAATTTAAATTGGGTGTATCCCATTTAAACAAACATAAAAAATAATCGGGATGTAAGAGTTTAAAGAAAAAATGAGCACAAACTGTCAAAAATACTTAATCATAGTATTAAATCACGTGCATTGCACGTGTGTAAAAACTAGTATATATATATATATGAGAAAAATGAGTATGTTTGGTACTAAGCACAAGTTTTTGTGCTTGGTAGTGAGGTGACATATTCTCCTCCACTTATGAAAATCGGGGCTCACATTCACATGGGTTGGGGAGTGGTTGGGAATTAAAATGAGTGGATGAGAATATGACACCTCACTACTAAGCACAAAATTTATGTTTGGTACCAAGCATATCCATTTTTTTTCTCTCTGTATATATATACTTGTCATATGAGAGATTTCTCATATGAAGTAGTGTGGCTAACTCTCATACATACAAGTGCATAAAGGGGGAGAGATCATCCCTTATAACCACTCTTGGATGAGATTCAGATGCATCTTTTTATACGAGAGAAGCCTCTCCTATGACATATGATACCTGTTAATCTCATATGTGTTTGTTTGAGAGAAATAAGTATCCTCGGTACAAAGGACCATATTTGGTTTTTGGCAGTGATGTGCTCACATCTCAACCACTCATCTAAAGGATGTGAAGTTGAAAAATTAAAAACCGATGATAAAGTTTATCCTTGGTAGTGAGGCGGTCAACCATGGATTCAGATGACATTAGTTGATGGAAAGTGATTTCATTTTCTTTCAACTTCACAGCCTTTAGTTGGGGGGCTGAGATGTGGTCACCTCAC